CTTTTCCAAAGCTCGAAATTCCCTAAATTAACCGTTAACATCTTAGTTTGCAAAATAAAAATCTATCAGCGAGTTCAATGGTATAAGAAAAATATATAATTTCTTATTTCAAATAATTATGTAACAATAAGAAAATGAAAATCAATTTTAAATCAAAACACTTTAATATTATTTTTATATAAAAAATGAATGTTTAAATGAAATTAAAATGAACTAAAATATTTATAATTCATTTGAAATTTAATTTATAAAATATTTAAAATTTTTAAGTATTTTATTTACTTTTTTCTATATAATGCAATAAATTGTTAAAACTATAAAAAAATATAATACTTTCACAAAAGTCACTTTTTTAGGTCAATCAGCTTATGCGGCCTCTTTTATTGCTGCCTAATTTAAGTGCGGCCTCTAACGGCAAAAAGGTTCCCCACCTCTGGTCTATGGGGATTATCACAAATTCAACAGCCATTGGAATAAACTCGATAAGGAGAAGCCGCCTTGGAATAAGCAAAAATGTTAAATGATTAAATAATATCAAAGACTACGTACATGATATATGTAATAGTGCCAGTATTGTCTTACTTAAAATTTCACAAAACAATGTATCAAGTTTCTTAAAAAAAACGTTGCGACGTTTTCAATGAAATTCAATGTGGCGATAATGTTCATACACCAGACTAAATAGTCCTACAAAAGTTGTTTGAGTTATATAAGTTAATTAAAATTTGGAATAATTTAAGGACATACAAGCACGTGCCTGTGCATTATAAATAATATAATCACAGATAATTTAAATGTGAGATTTATCAATTGATAATCGCAATATTTAGATTTATGAGAAAACAAAAATTTTAATAGCTAAATAAATAGTTGAAAATTTTATGTAAATATCTAAATCTTAATTTCGGTTAACAAAGTCAATTATTACACATTTCGGGAAGTTGATGCAACTTGTCTTAAGGCATAATTTCACTTTCAACTAGTTATATATTTCAACTCGTTTAAAGTATATATTATACTTATCTAAAAATTCAATGATAAACAACTATTTCATTCATTTTGCAATTAATTTTGAAATGCAACACAAGTTCAACAAATTAGCGTGGCCAAATACGCGCGCAGCATCACTGCCGGTGTCAGAATATTAATCAATTGAAGTATTCCAAAATTATGGTTATCTCAACTCACAATAAATATAACGAATATCTAGAAAATGCTAATGAAGTAATAAATTATGATATAAATCATTTAAATTGATTTCAACCCATAATTTTATTACACAATGGTGAATTGAATAGAATATTTAATATGATATAATTAATCATTGTTCATTCATATTTGCATATTTGCTGTTGTCAATGTTAGACAAATTTCAGTGAAACAAACATATGCCGGAAGATACAACTTTAATCGACAATTTAACGAATTTCAACTCGAACAGTAATCATTTACTTTACCTAGATTCATCCAGTATAAATAAATTTAGGGAAAATATTGAATACATAGTTAATTTTGATAGATATGATCATACTATTAATGGACTGATAACTAAGTACATAATTTATTAACTATTTATTGATCCAGTGGTATAATCACTGAAGCAATTGTATTTAAATAATCGATAAATTGAGTATTTTGATAATATTTTCATGGAGTCGTTAAGAGTTTTATATTGTTTTAATTATTAAAGTATATGCAATAACTGTAAAAATTGTATACTTCAATTTGCGTGAAAATAAACAACCAGTCAGAACAAAATACATAATAGAAAACAAAACATGGTGAATTTTCTTCAACTAAAAAATTATCTCTAAAGTATGTAGAGCTTTTCTGACAAGTATTGGCAAAAGATACAAATATATATTTTAAATATTTTATTAATTAAATAAAAGTTTCTAGCTTATTTCACCGAAAAAATTAAAACAAATAATAAAGAAATATTCTTATTTTTGATAAATATATATTAAAATACAATTACCACACAATTTACAGTATAAAAAACATATGTGACAACACAAATCAATATTTTCATTGAACTATTTTATTTATATAAGTAAAAAAATTTAATATATCTTATCGGCCATAAAATTTAACGAAAATTAGTGGATTTCCTGTACAACAATTAAACATTCAAGTAATGAAAATAATGAATAACACAGGTCCACAATACATCCAATAACATAGGTATTGAGTATGCGACAGGTTTTCTAATGCTTTTACTGTTGGGCACGAATTTAAAGTCAAAATTGGGGGTCAAATTGTAAAAAATTGAAAACAAAAATTTACGATCTAGGAATTCTTCTCCACTGTAATTAACATCTAATAATTTCTGTCATTTCCTGGACCTTTTTACTTAAAATGACTACTGAGTTTCGATTGAATGATTTATTGAGTTTTTTTTGTATAATTTAGATGTAATTTGCAAACATATTTACTCACCATTACCCTTGGATGATCTGCAAACATACTTGCAAATAAGTATCTTAAAATAAGTTTAAAGTTCACTGCTGTGATCTACAAAAAAAAAAACTTATTAGGTTATTTTAGTGAAAACTCCATAGTCATTTTTTAAGGGGTATATAAGCCTAATCGGCCGAAAAAAGGTCATTTTTTTAGTCTTTTTTCTGTGAAAACTATAATAAAATCTATCGATACAAAAATTTTTACACATATAAAGGCATATGTTAATTATATTTTAAAAATAAATACAGGTAAAAATATTTATTAAAAAAAATTACAGCAGATCTGCACTTCTTGAAAAACACGCTTTGCGGTGACTACTCTATCCCTGAAGTAAATCATCCGAAATTAAGAAAAACAAAAAGATTTCATTAAAGAAATGATAAATCTCATAATTAATCGAAGCAATAAGCAAAATAATAATTTGACAAAAAGGCGGTTTCTTAAAAAAAAACGGTTTTTCGCCGAAATTTTGACCTTAAATTGTTCATAAAAACTAAAATATTTATCGGATAGGAAAATTTTTTGATTAATCACTAAAAAATATATTCAAGAAGATTATTTTAAAATTTGAGGCTAATTGGAGCAGCCGTTTTCGAGTTATGTTGGTCACCAATTTTAAAAACACCATTTTGAGAAAAACGCGTTTGAAGTTTGGAAAGCAAATTACATGAGATACATTTTTTCATCTTCCATTGAGTCATTTATTCCAGGGCTACACAAGAGACCCTCCACCGATTTGAAAACTTCTAATAACTCGAGCTGATGTCTGCGAGCCATTCTTTCATCTCGGTTGCTCTCTAGCGCTTACCTTCTTTTTCGGGATTTGAATGCGCATTGAGCCCAAATTGTAATTTATATTAATTTCATATATTCCAATAGTGATTCTATTCCTCTCCTAAATATGCCGGTGGTTATGTATGCAGCGTTTTTCACAGTTTTCAAACCGGCCGGAAAGAAATTCACATTTCACAAAATTTAGAATGCAATACTAAACAGTCTAATCACATGTAACATTGTTTTCCTATTATTTTTTAATTTTTTTCGCCGTATCACTAACTACTTTCTTCCGTTTCATCCGTATTTTCCTTTTCAAATTTGCGTGTAACTTCGAAAATATTCACCAGAATAATATGAAATTGGTGTGTTCTTAAATATAGGTATATTGAGAGAATAAAAAAAAATCAATTTATAGAAAATCGTAAGTGTATATAACCCCTTAATATAAAAGGGTCAGGGAACGACAGAAATTGTAAGACAGAAGAAATACTAAATGGAGATTCTGTCTTTTTTTTTAATTTTTCTCGATTTGATCCTATTTGATCCCCAATTTTGATATCACATTTTTGTTCATCGGTAAAAACTACATCAGAAAACATATGCCATACACCCAATGCAGAAAACTGTTTTTGTGAACCCTGTGTAATCAATGATCATTGATTAACGACAACTGTTTCAAATATTTTTAAATAATTATTATAAATATTGTAAAATTCAGCATTCATATTTTGTAGTATGAATATATATATATATATATATATATATATATATAAATTATTTATAATGTAAATCTTATATATCTTATATATAAAATTCTGTAATGATGTATGTAAATATACTACTCCTAAACGATCATTCGGATTTTGATAAACCTTTCTGAACTTTTTTTTAGAATGTATGTGATTGTAAATATATAGTAATATTGTAGAAATAAATGGAAAAAAATGTAAACATAGAAAATATTTGAAACATTATTTGGCATTCAAAACAAATGAAAGCTGTCATCTGCCAAAAATTTCAATTTACTTATGATCATAGACAATAGTAGAATATGTATAATAAATTTATGATTATAAATAAGAAATTGAAATGTCTACATTATTATTGCCAAAAAGCAGCGGAGATGGTCCAGAAATTAAAATAGTATAATATATACATAAAAATAGATACAGTATATGTATGGCAGATTGAATGATATACATATGAACAGGATTTGACAAATTAACTCACTTAAAATATGAAATTAAGTAATAATCAGGGCCAGTCCTACCTTGAATGCGACGTATGCGAAAAACACAACACAAGATTCGTATATGAAATTTGCTGATACTATATAATATTTTTTTCAGATTTTTTTTACACCGTTTAAAAAACTTAAATTTCCAATATTGTGTGAATATTGATCATTTTAGTTAAAGCAGTTATATATTTAACATCGCTAATATTGTAAAATGTATATGCATTTTGGTTTGACGAGTAATTTAAAAAACAATAATTATTATTTTTAGGTAAATGGTAAATTTTATTATAGAATATTAAAAAATTATAATAGACGTGCGTACAGGACAACGTATATATATATATATATATATATATATATATATATATATATACATGTATATATATATATATATATATATATATATATATATATATTATATACATTATTTTAGCGAGAGCGAGTTGGCTAAAATACTAATAATCTAACATAACAAATCTGTATAAATAGTTAACGTAAAAAACAAAATTTCAATTTCCAGGACTGCTGCGCCTGCAACAGATCTACCAGGGCCTCCGTCCGGGCAACCAATCGTTCCAAGTGGAACTAGTTAAACGTGTCGGCAACGTGTCTGATGCAATGGACTACCTGCGCACCATCGAGGACATCAGCCGGTGGAGCCACAAATACGTGGTGCTCGATTGTCCCACGGACATGGCCAAAGAGATAGTAGTCAGTCACGTGCGCGACATCGCTCTAGGAAAAAGGACGTACCACTATCTGCTGAGCGGACTGGTGAGTAGTTTTATGGAGATGCTCGTAAAAGCACGGAAACTTGACACCGGAGATACTTTTTGTTACTTCTTCTATGTATTAACACAGACACGAGTGTAGAAAGATTTTAATATTAAACTATACATAAACTTTATATATAGACATACGTTTTGACTTTTAATTTCTGAAGAGAAAAGTGACTACTATTTCACTAAATTTAGGACGATTTGTATAAAATTCTAAGTGTTAATTAGTAAAGTTAAAATTATAAAAGTAAGGTGCATAGTACCTTATTGTTAAAATTAACTTTATAACTACCTAAAAAAGAAGGCGTAATAAGTGTAATTTTTTCTTATGGCAAGTTGTAAAACTTTCACAATATGTGTGACTCAACCAATAAGAAGTGAGACTGACACAGCCTATTATTCCAAACTCTAATTTTATTACTTTAATCTTTTTTTCAAACTTCTAACAAATATTCTAAAATATTTTTTTAAAACTATGGTCCTGCATTAATATTCTTTAAAAACGCAAAAAAAAACAATTAATTGCAGATGAAATAAGCCAATGATTATGAAAAGTTAATCAACTCGATTTCCAATTAAAGGCCTTCTACCGCCTCTTGAATTTGCAAAATCCTTTCAGGATTTTTTGTAAAAGCGTAAATGAAACTATGTTCAGATTTCTTGAAGTTCTAAAAGGCGACTAAGCAATTCGACTCGCAAAATTAATTAACAATCAATGTTCGAAAATCCATACCAAAAAGTAGTTTCTTTCGTTGTTAGTTTTTTGGTCTGTTTAAATTTGATTACGAGACCTCAATATAATTTTTAAGTTAACGTTATTTAATTGTTTTGAAAAATGTGATAGTAATTTTAAGTTACATCTAACCGTTTTTTATTCAAATAACCTCTATAGAAGCTTACACGTGGGTGGGGTGAAAAAGACCATCTGAACATTTACCCTGGCAAAGGTGCAAACATTAAAAACTAGTAAATTACAATGTGAATTGACTTAAAAAAGTAATTTTACAAGAAATAAGTTAAATAGTTATTTCAACTCTGCTGATTACTAGTTCTGACAAAATACCAGATCAAAGTTATATACCTTGTAATTTATATTTTGCATTGGTTGAATGATGTATTATTTCTAGAAATCTCTTTAAAATTAAAAATATTACTTTGGGTCCGTTTTGCTCTGACTGTCGCATTTTAGCCCGCCTATAGGGTAAAATAACCGGGTAACAAACTTATGAAAAACAGCAAAATAATCATATTTCTACAATAGTGAATTAGCTGCAAGTTCTGCTGAACATAGTCAGATAGTTTTTTGATATGCGTTAATTGTTGTGATATAATTTGGTTTTCACAATATAATTGCTCACAGTCAAATTAGACTTTTGTGCTCCGCCATACCCTAATTATCATACAGAAATCAAGTTTTTTTAATAACAGAAAATAAATACAATCTACACAGTGGCTGCTAAAACACAATAATGAAAGGATGAAATTGATACAGATGGATCAGTGGAAATTCGTTGTGAAGTTTATTCACTATATAATATTAGACCACAAAAGTAGCTTATCAAAAATAAGCGCAAATAAATATATACCAAAGGTCACAAAATCGTATCGCATTTTTCTGTAACCTTCTGACTTATACCTATACACGGTCCAATGGATTCTACTTGTGCCATTTAGCGAGATGTCCTTCTTCATGTTACTCATCTTGATTCTATAACACTTACATAAGCAGGATGAGGCACTTGTGTAAAATATTTTTATTATTAGAACTCGCTCGTCCTCAGGGATGTTCAAAATCCGTGACGTGACGTGACGTGGTTGCATATATGGCATTTTTTCCCTAAACGCGCGTGTCGCCGCATAGATAAAGGAATTGGACTGCATAAGAAATGCGATATAATATATAAGAATACTATCAGAAGTACATAATATTTTAACGAAAAACGAAAAAACAAACAAAAGCATTCAATATTAAATCGAAAAAAATGGAAACAGGGTTGCATACATATTAGTAATAATTTAAGAGCGGTGTTGTAAAAATATGGAACTAAGAGAAGATGGTAAAAGTATCTGAATCCGTATACTATACATATACATATATATATATATATATATATATATATATATATATATATAATAGGGTGGCCCTCAACAAGGACATTTACGAATTTCTTTGCTTCAAAGGGCGCCAATACTTCCAAATGAATAAAAAATGAATCTCTAATAATATTAGCTCTTAATATAAACATTTAGATAGCGCGCACGCCAATTGAAAGTTTCTTATATTTGTTATTAACATACGTCATTAAGTAAATTTTTGCGCCTCAGTATAGTATTTGTGAACTCAGATATTATGACACATAAGAATATTTATGAACCACTTAACCTCTAATTAAATCCTATTCATCATGGAATCAAGATTAATTTTGCAGCAAAATATTAATTTAATTGATATGTTTAATTGAAACTCAAATTATTATCTGGATTCCATGATGAATAAATATTATAGAACAGCCCACATGGATTTAATCAGAGGTTAAGTGGTTTATAAATATTCTTATGTGTCATAATATTTGAGTTCACGAATACTATACAGATGGCGCAAGAATTCACTTAACTTCAATAATATGTTTCAAAGTCGAAATAACCGATTTCAATATTATTGATTTCTTAAAATTTTTAATTGTAAACTGACCCCTCAGTATAAAAAAATTCGAAATATAAAAAAAATCAAAATTCTCAAAATCTGTTTTTCTGAAGTTTTCAAAAAATTTTAAAGACTTTTTAAAAAATTTAATTTTCATACGGGAATTTCCAGCAATTTGCCTTAAGGCACGATGTCATTCACCACTAGTTTTTGTTGATGGTGCAATGCCTGATAATGGATATTTTTACTTGTAAACTTATAACTATCTATATTTTCAAGTGAAAACTGATATCACTACTGCTTGACATCAGACTGCCCAAAATCCCATAGCTATAACCCTAATGCACTGGTAAACTCGAAATAATAATGTATTATGAATGATATAATAATAAACAAATATGTTATTTATGAATTATATATTATATTACATAAAAATAAACTTATTCAAAGTAATATAGCAAGAGGCACATATAGGTATTAATAAATCCGCATTTTTTTTAATAAATAATATGTACTTACTGATACGCCAAATCGACAAAGTTTTACTTTATAAAAACACTTCATGAATGTACTTTTCAGAATACTTTTTTACATTTTTTTAAGCTAAATTATTTCAACGAATCCCAAATTAATATGAATTAAAATATTTTAATCTAACTAATATGTATTTTTTATCAATTCCATTTTTGTTTATTTTCATTTTTTATTATTTACGTTTATATCATAATTTGTAAATATTAAAATTCAAAATATAGAAAAAGTGTAAAATAAGACTACAAGTATAATATTTATATTACATGAAAAATTTCTGTTAAAGAAAAAATGAGATTGATGTTAATATATTGGTTTTATTATTACAAGCAAAGTAAATATTTTCCCGCTGAGACGATAGCATATTTTAGTGCCATAGTAGAAAACTGCTATAAAAATATATCATAGAAAAAGCGTAAAATATCTTATGTTTTTATCTGCCCAAGTAAATATAGATGTGTAAGCACATCACGAAAAAATGAATCGATATTACAACAATATCGTATCTATATTGTAGTTTCATTTCGTGCTTATTTTCTTTTGAAGATAAACTAGATATAAACATGTGAGCTCTTTGAATTTATAGCACGAGATATTTAGACGGAAATACAGTCAAAGTGGTCGTACGGAATTCGTTTGACCAACAAATCAATATAACTGTTTGATGTTATAAAATATTTTATTGAATTTTAAAGTTATACTCACATGTATCTTTATATATACATAAAGATATTTAAAAAATATTCCATAATGTGATAAAAATCATTTTCTTAAATGGTTAAATATATTAAAATAATTTTGTTGTTAATGACATAAAAAATCGTGTTATAAGGATTATTATTTTTAAACAATGCATTTAAGAAATTGGTAATGATAGATAATCACATTAGCTAAAAAATGATTATACAATTTTCAAAGAATAACGTTTAAAATAAGTATTTATTTACAAACAAACCATAATCCAAAAAAAAAATTATTTCACGCTCTTATCATGCTTACTTAATTAGATAATATATATATATATATATATATATATATAAATTTTCAATGAATTTGAAGATTTAAAGAATTTACGGAACTGTAGAAAATGGATTTTTTAACAGTTGAAAAATATTTGATTTATAAGTTAGTTTTTATATACTATTTTTAAAACGTTTCAAAATAAATAGGGTAGTGCGGGGTTTAAAGGTCCGCGGGTAAAAAGGTTTACCACCGATATCTCAAAATGAATTGAAGTTAAGAATTTTTTAAGAACAATATTTGAAAGTAGGAGGAAAAAAAATGTATAATCAGCCATCACCTTGATTCTTATAAATGTTTAAAAATGTTTAAAATCCTAATCAAAAATTCTTTAATTTGTTATTTTTTTTCGTTGTGAGCACACTGTTGTTTAGTTCACGAAAACCTTAATATAATTTTTAAGTATATATTATTTAATTGTTTTATAAGATGTATTGTTAATTTAAAGTTAGATCCAACAGTTTTTTTCATATAATTTCTTTTGAAGTTTATACATATATGGGTAAGAAGGACCAACAAAACTTTTACCTTGTAAAAGGTATAAACATAAAAAATAGTAAATGTAAATTAAGTTACCAAAATGAAGATATAAGTTATATTGTTATTCTAACTATGCTGATGATCATTTATGTCAAAATACTAAATCATAGTTATAAACAGGGTTATGTTTGTGAAAAAAGTACCCATATTTGTATTTTGCTTTGGTTTGCTATGTAGCTATCATTTTGTAAAATCCCTCTAAAATTAAAAATAAAACATTGGATCTGTTAGCTTCCTGACTGTCCCGTTTTGCCCCGTCT